AAGATTAGTTGCCCTGGGAAATTCAGCTGTCAGAAAAGCAGAGTTCAGTAATACAAGGTCCTGCTCTAGCTGATTTCTCCATTCCTGCTGCAATTTCCGATCCTTCCCACTGGATCCTCACCTGATTGATAGTGCTGATTATAACACCTTAATAAATTTCAGATATGTGGGGTTCATCTGCTGTAGACCCTTCTTGTTTGTAGGGAGGTTGATTCCTCTGCTATGTGGAGGTTGATTACTTCTTCATTCATTCATTCATTCATTCATTTCTTTATTTCTTACCACTTTAAAATGGGGAGGAAAGGGGAAATAACTGAACAGATAACAGTGATCCTAGCTGAAGCTCTCTGTTTAACAAAGTCACAAGCATAGCTTGAAGTTTGACTTTCTTGGCAACTAGTAGTTGATTCCTATGCATTCTTCCATTAAAGAGTTTCTGGTAATAATCCTCCATTATGTATTATGGAGCAGATAAACCTGTGGCAGTTCACCCTTCTTCATAGTAGAAAAGCCTGGAATCTCAGGATAGGGCTCTGCTTCAGAGCTTCCTGTCCTGTAGCTTCCCCAGGTAAATGATTTTATTGTAGCATATCAGTCATGGTTCCTTTCTGGATGAGCAGATTATCTTCATATTGGACAGGTGAACTTAAATGCACTTACATTATATCTGAAAACCTTAAAAGTCTATTTAGGGAAGTGACTTCTACATTATAAAATTATGATGTTGTCTTGAGAGAACATTAAGTCCATTCCTCTCCTTTGAATGGAACTTGAGTCTGTATTATCCAGACAGATGAGACTCTCTTTCATAAATGATTTATGTTCTATGTAAAAGTATGTGAAAACAGAAATTTCAGTTTGCTATAGTACTTCATTCTACAGTCTTATAATGCATAGATGCATATTTAACCTCTGGTCATTTTCCTATTGTGGGGGAGATCTGTTTGTTACTATTTGGGAAAGCATACACACCCCTCAGAGAGCATCAGATGTACCATTGCCTTCTCCCCAGGTCAGAGTTTGATTATCCTATTTCAGAGTTGCAGAGGTAACTCATTCATTTTTGTCTTTATAGATCTTTTCAGACTTTTTTCTGTTCCATTTAGGCTATGTAAAGATCACATGCTTTTGCAGGGCTCTGTGCAGACCTGAATACTAATCTTTCTGTCTCTTTCTCTCCCCAAAGCTTTTGTATCTTGTTACCTTTATGCCCTGTTTTAATTTCATGATCTACTATATATACTTCAGTGGAAAATAGTGCTGGACTAAAAACATAACTGTGTTATTCTGCACGTTGGCTAATCTATTTTAAAATACTCATAATAATTTTAACCTAGATACTTGAGACTTCAGAGCATCAATATATTTGGGCTCTCTTCCTCTTATAATAAATGTTAGTGTCTAATCTAACTATAATTCTATGATCATTTGGATCACAACATGTTTGCTTGCCAACCATATGAAACTATCCTTTATGAAGATTTCTTTTCCTACTAAGTCATGGTATTGTGCATAATTTTTACATAGTATACATGTTTGCACATAGTATAGGAATGTTTAATAAACTGAATTATATGATAATTGAATTATGGCATCATTTATATTCAAAACCATCATATAATACATTAAATTAATGATGTGATGATGCTCTGTCCATTGTAAAACCAAATTCAAATTCTTGAATGTTTATCTTGAAGCTTTTTCCTTTCAAAAAGATGTATATTTTATGACTCATTCTTGTAGGATGCTGGAACCACATGAAGTGGCATTTCTTTTTTATTAAATATTGTGCAAATGGCAGGACATTAACAAAGCCTGTAGCTCAGTCAATTCCAAAGTATCAAAGCTATATTCATACCAATTCAGCTTTATTAGACTGCTTGGGTCATGAGAATGCATGATTTTAGGTGAAGTACAAAGCAAAAAGGAAAATTGGACACACAGTTGACAATCAAAACCAAGAATGCACTTGAAATTTAGTTTAGTGTACGTGATGTGCATCAGAGGCAGGTAGAACTCTTGGAATTGGACAGGGATCGACTGTTTCTACTTTTGAGTTACATATTTCAGTCACTGCACCTAAAACTTTACTGTCTATATTCCTGCATCAGACCTAGACTATTAGCCTAGAAACACCAAGACAGCTACTATGTCTGATTCTCATTATACCTCTAGTGCTGCTAACAACATTGATGTGTACTTATTGAAGAGAAAATTGCAAGTCAGAGACCAAAAAAACCTTCTTGACACTTCCCTGTCCTTCACCGCCATATTCAAGTCACCTAAATATTGTTTTAAAGCCATTCATTTCTTTCCTTCTCCATCAACACAATTACTACTATTACTTTCGCCCAACCACCATCTCCTTTTAGAGCAGGTGCCTGTGGCCTCCCAAATGGTCTACTTCCACTAGTCTGGGCCCTCTTAATTCCTTCTCTTTACTGTAGCCAGATGTGCTTTTAACAACATAACCCTTTCAAAGGCTTTCTGCTGTCCTTTTATAATAATAGCTCATTGTCGTCGTCATCATAATACTGACTGTTCTTTTGACCAAGGCCTGTAAATAGGGTGGTCATACAGCTCACCACTTAGATAAATTGTGATATGGGTTCCACTGAAAATCACACCAGAATGACAGGGAAACAGGGATGTATGCTTGCCTTGTCTGTAAGGTCTTGCTTGCATTCACTTATTGTACCTGCAGAATTGCTTGAGTTTCAGTCTTTTGTGCTTCCCCAGGTTACTTATCATGTTTGCTACCACCACAGGGCCATTGCACATGGTAGTATTATCTGGCATTTGACTCCTACCAATCTTTCTGCTCTTAGTTCATGCATGGCATCTCATTGACTAGGTTGAATTTCCTTATCATAGGCTCTTACCACATTCACAGATGCAATTGAACAATTATTTATTTGAATGAATACTAGTCAGAGATTGGTAATATTGTATGACCAGTGTACCAGTAGTGGAATACAGTGATCATCCCAATGGCAAAATAAACTCTGTATGTTTAAGTTCTGGTAGTACTCTATATGTTTAGTACTGGTAGATCCAGTACTAAAGAAAGCAGCTCTATGTATGTCAACTTAATGTAAAAATAGTCTCAGTTTTAACTATTAATATGCTATTTGATGCTTAATTTGTTTTCCAAAAATACTGTAATTTAAAATTCCAGTTAAGGAATTTCACAAATTTATCAAAAACTTGAAGTTAAAATATGGGTTCTTGAGAAGAAAGTTCTGTTAGTAAGAAACCTGTGACATGTAGGAGTCATATTCTATAGAATTGGTGGATTCTGGAACAAATTATCTGGGTTTAAATCATGACTGTGCCACTTCCTGTCTGGGTGTCCTTGAGCAAGTTACTTTAGTTTCCCTGTATCTCTCTTTACACATCTGTAAAATGGGTATAGTAATGGCACATATTTCATAGGGCTTTTGTGAGAATTTAACAAGGCAGTACATATAAAGCACATAAAACACTTTGCAGCACAAGTAACTACTCGATGAATACTGGCTATTGCTGTTATTTGTATTGTTATATTTATTCATCCAACAAATATTTATTCAGTATATACTTTGTTCCTGGCACTGTTCTAGAGACTGGAAATTCAGAAGTGACCAAGACAGGGCAGGGGAATGCACTGGGTATAATCCATAAACACATTAATTTCAAAGTCCAGTAAGTATTGTGACTGAAATAAACATTATAGTTTGTCAGGGCTTGTTGGGAAGGAGGTTTGTTAACTCAAAGGATGAGGAGGAGTCAGCATGCACAGAGCTGGGGAGGAGCATGTGAACAGGCTCTGAGGTAGGAAAGGGCTTAGCCTGGTTTAATAGTTAAGAAGTCAAGTGTGGCTGGAATGTTTATGTGTGAGTAGCAAGGGAAGGAGGCCTGAAAAATAGACAAAAAGTGGATTATGCAGGTGTGCTGTGGGTATTTGATTAGAAAGATGAGAAGTCATCTAATTCTGCATATTCTACTGATAAACAAACCCATGGGTCCTGATCAGGGTCATGTAAGCTAATTAGTGATACAGCTAGAACTTGAAGCTAAGTACCCTCTATTCATATGTTGTTTTTTAATTATTGAAGCATGCATATAAAAACTGCACAAGTCACATATAGAATGATTTTACATTAATTTTCATGAAGTGCCCCCATATAACCATATTGAGAAAAGATCTTGACCTGTCCTCTATAAGCTATACTGTTACACCCCCACCACCATCCCCAGCCCCCAGAATATAATGCTTCTCCTGACCTCTAATACTGAAGATTAGTTTTGTCTGGTTTTAAACTTTTATGAACCTTTAGGTGGGAGCATATGCCATAAACTTTTCTCTCTCTGGCTTCTTTGACTCCACATGTCTATGAGATTCAGCTGTATTGTCATGTGTTGTATGCAGCAATAGTTGGTTCATTTCCTTGCTGTTTAGTAATTTATTGTATGAATACACACAGGTTTCTAGTTTTATGGCCAACCGAAAGTCACTAAAGGGGATCATGCATGTGTATGTGAAATGAAAGCCAGATTGGGATGCATGTCATTTATGTATGCATGTTAATCTTGCGTATTGTAGTTATTTTTTTCAACCAAAGGAAGGTCAGATTAGGAAATTTATCTTTAGGACCTAGGTAAATGTCCTCGATTGTTACTTTCACACTATAATGCCTAGTTAAAACAAAGGCTTCCATGAATGTATATTGCCCTTTACTAAACAAATATTAATTTTAAATGGAAAAAACTTGGATGAACTTGTCAGATGCTTTCAAATGGTGCTATCATTGAGCTTTCAGCCTTTTAAAATATTATCTAGGATAGTGCATGTTTCTAAGGAGTGACGGGTTATTTGCTTCTTAATTGGGCTAAATAACCATCATTTATTCTTTAAAAAATTATGTCTGTTTAAATAAGTGATTGGTTAATTGGATGAATGCCATTTTCATGTGCACTTCATTCAGTTTTTTTCTTTCTCTCTTTTTAAAATATTTCAGATGATGTTGTGCCATATTTTAAAACGGAGCCAGGCCTACCACAGATTCACCTGGAAGGGAATCGTCTTGTTCTCACTTGCCTTGCTGAGGGGAGCTGGCCTTTGGAATTCAAGTGGATGCGCAATGACAGTGAACTCACCACCTACACCAGCGAATATAAGTAACTGATTGCTTGAAAATAAGATTTTATTTCAGGTTATGTTTAGGATATTTGCTTTTTTGGTCATAAGAGCACAAGGGGTGAAAATATTGGATTGCATTTCTAATATATTAGGATTAAAATAATAGAGTTAATTAGCATGTGACTTATTAGTCTGATACAGGTTGCATTTATACCTAAGAAGTCTATCGTATTTGTAAAAGTAAGCATATTAGTGAAAGAGTGAGACCAAAAAAAAGTTATAGTTAAAGAGGAATGCAAATAATAGCATGATAAATTTGCTTTCTTGTGGCAACAGTCCCCCGCCTCCCCCACCACCAGTATTGTCATTTTTAACAAGCATAAATGTTTAAACAGAGATTTATAAATGTTTAAACAGATTTTTGGCCAGCATTTTCTGGAGCTCTAAGTGGTCAACAACTTTCCTAGCTAACTTTTACAGTTGGGTTGGGAAAAGAGAGAACTGTGGGAGGATGGACATGAGTAGAGCATTTATAGTTAGCAAAATGGATAGTTATTGAACTACTGCCATGAGCTTGGTATTTGGGTACAGGAGTGGGTATCACTCCAGGGAACAAGAGTACAGGGACTAATGGGGATGGAGAGCTGGAGATCAGGTTAAGTCTAGGTGGGGGCTTCATGCAGAAACCATCTTGTGAGACTCAGTGTCTCCTTCAGTGCTTGAGGTCTTTCCAGATTTGTGTCTGTTTAACTTCCATTTCTGTGGTGAGTGTTATTATACTAGATCTGCAGTTCTGAGTGGGATGGAGAATTAGCAACTGCTTCGGACATCCAGGGGTACTCCATTCAGTGCAAATCAGCAATACCATGCTCTTATTAAAATGAAATAAGAAAGAGAATTGGCTGTCTAGAGGTATTCCAATAGCATGAGCCTCTCATCTTGGGTACAGCCTGCCACTCACTCACTCTCTAAGAGGTTCCAATGTGGTGATTCATGAACCACATTTAGCCTGCCTGTAATAATGTGGTGTGTGTGTGTGTGTGTGTGTTTAAAAACCAGTTCAAAATACATATGGATATATACACAGAATATATTTCTTAATTGATTGCTAGCATTTAATAATTGTAAGATTTCATATACAAATCCTCTTTTTGGCCCCTTTTGACTGTCAGAAGATATGGCCACCCAGGTCTGAGCCCCACACAGAAGCTGGGCAGTGCTGCCTTTGAGTGAAGGCACGGCCACTCTGGTTCTCAGCACTCTTGGGCCCCCTACCTTGTAATGTTTGCTCAGTTCCACTGTTCACCTGCCCTTTGTAGATGTAAATGACCTCTTCTTTCAAAGGTAGGCCTATACTGTCAGTATCTGCTGTTGTGGTAGCAACTTATCATAACAGTTAAGAGTGTGTTGACATAAAGCATCCTAGGTTTGAACCCCAGCTCTCCAATTTCGTTAGTGTTCTGACCTCAGGAGAGCTGCCTATTAGCCCCACTTTCAGTCTACAAAATGGGGCTGATTATACTTTATTTGTAGTGTCGTGAGCATTAAAAGGCTCTGATATATGTAAAATAGCATTATCTCTGGCCCAGAAACCATCTGAATAAACCCTAGGCAATATTATATTATTGCAATATGCCATTAGGGGACTTAATTTGTTAGGATGGGTGTATATGAAAGCAGAAACCATTAAGAGAATTGAGAAATGAGAACCATTAATGAGTAACGAGCTTTAGTGGCAGATAACTTGGATACAAACACTCTATTCAACCTATAAACTATGTGCCTTTGGACAAGTTATGTACCCCCATGGATCTTACTTTTCTCATCTGTAAAATGAGTATAAGAAATCCACTCTGAGTGTTCTCATACAAATTATATGATATAACATTTTTTAAGCCCCAGGAAGAAAGGATGAGGTTTCAAAAGAACCCAGTTGTTCTTCCTAATAATGAGACTCTATTCACAGGGACCTCCAAACTGGGGTACACAGGGCCATGGATAGTGGCAGGAATTGTTTTCTAGATCTTCAGCTTCAATGAGTGTTTTCTAAAACTGAGCTGCCTGAGAGCATGCCTTTGTGTTCTCTTTTCTTACTCTCTTTGTTTTATTCCTCTCATTTCACAAAAGGAGGGCACACCTCTTCCTGGCCCAGTCTTCCTATGGAACTCAATCTTAGGGGTGCAAGAAAAACACACAGGTCAAAATATTTTCCTTGATCAAAACATCAGGCTTTATTTATTAAACAACCCCTAGAAGAGCTTCTTGTCTTTCATTCTATACCTATTTCATTTAAGGGCAAAGTATGACACTAGAAATGGGATATTTTGGCCAATCTTGCTGTTTTTTTAATTCAGAAATGTATAGATGGGCACCAGGACCTAAACCATTTTTTTTTGTTAAAAACTTTACCTTTTCTACTCTTAAACTATTATCAAATGTATTTTGCCTCGAGGAATGTGTACTGAGAGCAAAGCAAAGAGAGCATATGCAGGAAATACCAGATGAGGGCAACTCATCTGTCCAGGCAGCAAACTTCCAGTAGTGCTCTGTGGCTTGTCCACTTATTGTATTAGAATTAGAGCAGTTAAGATTTGTTACGAAGAGAAGCAAGCTGGGAAGAAATCTTCTATGAAATACACTTGGCTCTCTGCCAGCATTTCACCCTACACAGAAACAGAAAGAGCTTGGTGAGGGCTCAGTTGCAGATTTTAAGGAGGAAGGGTAAAACTTCCTCAGGTCACTGTTCTATCTTGATACAGAAGGACATATGCTATAGGAAAGTTAGTGCTTTGTATTTTCTCAAACATTCTTTCAGAAGACACATTGATAAACTTTTGCCAAAAAAAGATTATTTGATATTCTAAGTCCAGATCTGTTTTTTATTGCAGCAGTGTGTTTGGCTTGCTATTGCTCATCAACTTCTTCTCTACTTGTTTTCTCCATGTACTCAATACTCAATAGTTTTAAATTAACTGTATGCAAATACACAGTCAATACCTTTTCTTTTTTTTATTAAGGTATTGATATGCAATCTTATGAAGGTTTCACATGAGCAACATTGTGATTACTACATTCACCCATATCAAGTCCCCTGCACATACCCCATTGCAGTCACTGTACATCAGCATAGTAAGAAGCTATGGAGTTCCTCTGTGCTGTACTGCCTTCCCATGACCCCCCTACATTATGTGTGCTAATAGTAATACCTCTTAATCCTCTTCTCCCTCTCTCCTAACCTGCCCTCTCCACTCCCTTTCTCTTTGGTAACCACTAGTCCCTTCTTGGAGTCTGTGAGTCTGCTGCTATTTTGTTTCTTCAGTTTGCTTTGTTCTTATACTCCACAAATGAGGGAAATCATTTGGTACTTGTCTTTCTCCACCTGGCTTATTTCACTGAGCATAAAACCCTCTAGCTCCATCCATGTTGTTGCAAATAGTAAGATTTTTTTCTTCTTATAACTGAACAATATTCTATTATGTATGTGTACAACATCTTCTTTATCCATTCATCTATTGATAGACACTTAGGTTGCTTCCATATCTTAGCTATTGTAAATAGTGCTGTGATAAACATAGAGGTACATGTGTCTTTTTGAATCTGAGATCTTGTTATTTTTAGGTAAATTCCTAGGAGTGGAATTGCTGTGTCAAATGGTATTTGTATTTTTAGATTTTTGAGGAACCTCCTTATTGCTTTCCACAATGGTTGAACTAATTTACATTCCCACCAGCAGTGTAGGAGGGTTCCCCTTTCTCTGCATATTCACCAGCATTTGTTGGCCATCCTAACTGGTGTGAGGTGATATCTCATTGTGGCTTTAATTTGCATTTTTCTGATGATTAGTGATACAGAGCATCTTTTCATGTGCCTGTTGGCCATCTGAATTTCTTCTTTGGAGAAGTGTCTGCCCATATCCTCCACCCATTTTTGATTGGGTTGTTTGTTTTTTGGGTTTTGAGGGGTGTGAGTTCTTTGTATATTTTTGGATTTTAACCCCTTATCAAATACGTTGTTTATGATATACTCTCCTGTACTATAGGATGCCTTTTTGTTCTACTGATGGTGTCCTTTGCTGTACAAAAGCTTTTTAGTGTGATGTAGTTCCATTTGTTCATATTTGCTTTTGTTTCCCTTGCCCAAGGAGATGTGTTCAGGAAAAAGTTGGTCATATTTATATTCAAGAGATTTTTGCCTATGTTTTGTTCTAAGAGTTTTATAGTTTCATGGCTTACATTCAGGTCCTTGATCCATTTTAAGTTTACTTTTGTGTATGGAGTTAGACAATAATCCAGTTTCATTCTCTTACATGTAGTTGTCTAGATTTGCCAACACCAGCTGTTGAAGAGGCTGTCATTTCCCCATTGTATATCCATAGCTCCTTTATTGTATACTAGTTGACCATGTATGCTTGGGTTTATATCTGGGCTCTCTATTCTATTCCATTGATCAATGGGTCTGTTCTTGTGCCAGTACCAAATTGTTTTGATTACTGGGTTTTGTAGTAGAGCTTGAAGTCAGGGAGTGTAATTTCCTCCCCTCCCCACTTTATTCTTCCTTCTCAGGATTGCTTTGCCTATTCAAGGTCTTTTGTGGTTCCATATGAATTTTACAAGTACTTGTTTTAGTTCATCAAAGAATGCTGTTGGTATTTTGAAAGGGATTGCATTGAATCTGCAGATTGCTTTAGGCAGGATGGCCATTTTGACAATATTAATTCTTCCTATCATGAGCATGGGATGTATTTCCATTTATTGGTGTTTTCTTTAATTTCTCTCATGAGTGTCTTGTAGTTTTCAGGGTATAGGTCTTTTACTTTCTTGGTTAGGTTTATTCCTAGGTATTTTATTCTTTTTTTTCAATTGTGATTGGAATTGTTTTCCTGATTTCTCTTTCTGCTAGTTCATTGTTAGTGTCTAGGAATGCAACAGATGTTTGTGTATTAATTTTGTATCCTGCAACTTTGCTGAATTCAGGTATTAGTTCTAGTAGTTTGGAGTGGATTCTTTCAGATTTTTTTAGTGCCAGTATCATGTCATAT